TGCCGATGATGCTGCTCACATGCCCATTCCCCTGTGCGTCTTACTACCACAGTCTGTCGATAGCTCTCGATCTTGCAACTGCAACAACAGCAACAATACATGGCCGGAGGCAGCCCAAACTTGTTTTGCCTGTAAAAGGGAGTTGTCGTTGCTGCTGCCTCTGCTGCTGTCGGCTGTTCATTGTCTCTGTGTCTGCGTTTTGTTTCAGGTTTCAGAAAACGCCAAGAACAGGCAAAAACAGTGCCATGACAGCTACATACACATGTACATAATAAATACATACGTATATGAGGCAGAATGCATTAATAAAGAGAGGTCCTGCACCGAGGATACCCTGCAATTGTCTTCAACATCTACTAGGTATTTAAGGGACGACCAGTCCAATAAATATTAGTTTCGGTTTCTGTTAACTGGCAACCGTTTAATAGAGGGAAAGCTGATTCAGTAAGCTGTTTGTTAAATAAGATATTGAAAGATATAAGGTACAGAGCTTGATAGAAAGAATGTGCCCGACCAGGAGAGGCACACACATAAAAGAAGCTAATTATGAATTTTGAAATGGAATATTCTTCTTGAATATACCCAGCTCGTCCATACGATATCGTCGATCTCTGTAATCACATTCTGCATTCCACACATATAAAATATACCCTTGTTTACCCTGCATTGGCGTTTGGGCAAGAAAGAAACAGCAACACACAAGAAAAAGCTCGTGGGAGTAAACTGCAGCGTTGAAGATGTGTCGAAGGTGTGGGCGGACGGGCGGAGGGGAACACGGATAACTTACGTGCAGTTTAACGGTTAATGCAAACGAAGACGACAAACGAATGCGTTGCGCATATGGCACAGGCCCACAGTCGGACTGTCCGGCTGGCCCGAGTCCCCGGACAGCAGAGACGAGACGGACCAAATAAGGCTGACAGCACGTACACAAGAGAAAAGAAATACGAGTATAACCAAAGAAAGAGAGACACCAAGCCAAAAGCGGCCATCAATTCCTTCTTTCTTTTTTTGGTCAAAGAAGGCGCAAACGGAACGCGAACAAGTTGTAAGGCGAGCAATGAGTGCAGACAAAAGCAGTTACAAGACATTGACGGAGAAGAAGCAGTGCCATAAGAAGATAAGGGAAGGGGGAGGAGTAGGTGGAAGAGAAATGAATAATGGAGGGTAGCCGAGCTGAGCGTTTACAGCTACATTGAACTTTAGAGACTTTTGAAGCACTTGCCTCGCCTTGGCCCCCTCTCTCCATCCCTATTCCAACATTACTATGCCGAAAAACCGAATGCGGCTACTACGCACACACACTTTTACGCCATTGCACATACATACATGCATACACATGCGTGGGTAAACGTTTTTTCATTTCCATCGTCCGCGAAAACAACTGTGCAAAAAATAGGGAAATTACCATTGTTAAAAGCTGAATTTGCTGAAAATTTTTATTGATTAGCACAAAAGACACTGGAAATGCACATTAACCATCAAATTCAATAAAATTGCAATTGATTTTCCGCTAGAAAATTCTGTGCAAAAATCTCATTTACGCCAACACGAAAACGTATATGTACACACAACCACACACACACAGTCACACGCGCGAACGAGAGCTGCGAGCGTATACCGACGTGCAAGCGCGTTGGCTTTGGCCAAAAGGCAGTAGCATCAAACAGCGGCAGCAGGATAGCTGGCAATTTAACTGGCTTTTAGTTTTTAGGTTCCGAGGAGGCGGCACGGCACGGGACCGACGACGACCGCAAGCCAAAGCGTATTGAAACGCGGCTCCAACAGCATTCAGAGCCAGGCAAAAGCCATGTTGGAGCTAGAGTCCTCGCAGTTGCACCGGAGCGGGAGAGCGCCAATTGTGCGCAACTTCCCTCTCTTTCTCTCTCTCTCTCTCTCTGGATATGGACTCTCTGATGTGGCGGCTTGACGGGGCAATTTGTTGCAATTGAAACAATAACAATTCCACAAGGCAATTTGTTGTTGCCTGGCAAATTAGTTTGTTAATAAATGAATGAAAGATATGAGCGAAGTAGTAGAAAAAGAAAGGAAAGGGAAGCAAAGCGGTTTATTCCCTAAAGTACGGGCTAAAAAGCGGTTTTGTGGTTGCCATTGGAAACGGTGAAAATGCATTCATTCGGTGGACACAGTGGGACAAATAGAGTCAAAGAGAGGCAAATGCTGAAGATTGGGTATAAGAGATTATTTTTAAAATTTTCGAATTTTAACCGAAAATAAATACCATTTGAAGTGGGTATTACCAATCCATAATCTTTCAAATTTGTCCCACTGTGGCCCACGAATCACCGAAAAGGCAAACAAAACTCCACACACAAACACAGACATAAAACCGAACACACACCGATTTCTCGTCAACCACTTTTCATGCTGCACAAGCCAATAAGAGAAAGAGAGAACCACAACCAGAGAGCCAAAGCGAGTGAGAGCCATGCTAAGCTCCAAGCTGAAAAAAGGCTCCAGCGGCAACTTTATTCATTTGACGTGCGCGCAGTGCCCTCTCTAGCTCTCTTTCTGATATTTTCTCTCTGTATAATCTGTTACTGGTGCTACCCCTCTCCCAACAACAGTTCTAACACTTCATTGGAGCTCGTTGCGACAACGCCATCAAGTCATTTGATTCCCACACAAATCTCTGCATCTTGAGCGCGACTCTCCTTCTATCCCTCGCCTTGCTCTTTCTCGCTCTCACTCGTTTCATTATGGCAAGTGAGTTATGGGATCTGGTATATGTCTCTGTATGAGTGTGAGTGGACTGCGCTTTCTATTGATTTATATGAGTTTTATGGCGCAATCTGAGCCATACGAAAAGACTTCGAGTGCGACGACCGCTTAGAAGACATCGAAAACGCGCACTGCATTTTACATTTAATTGCGCTTTGTTCAGAAACTAACATAAATTATGCAAATTTAAATAAAAACTTTACAAATCAGTCAAGTCAACTTCACTCCTCCCCCGCTTCCATTGTTAACCAGAGTTGTCACGCGCCAGACGACGGCAGCGCTCGAGCATGACGCTGAAGAGCTCTACCCCATCTCTCCTACAGACACGTGTTGGTTTATTAATTACATAAGCCACACACCAGCTGCATCTGCAGTTTTTGTATTTTATTATTTCCTTTTCTTTTCGGAAACCCAATTTCCTGCAGATGCTGGAAGATGCCGCACAATCAAACGGTGAGAACAGCTGGCAACCCCTAAAACTCGAAATGACAGATGGCGGCGTCGGCATTGGCGTCGACGCGGGTGCTAGCAGCGCAGGACGAGGTGTCCCGGCTTCAAAACGTAAACACTGCCAGAGTTGCCGAAGCACAGCTATGGTTAATGGAAGCTTAAATACTAGTACTTACTTTTAACAAACCGAATGCCGAGTAGACTATTTTCCAACTTTTAATTATCTCTCTCTTGTCATAAATTACAGGCGCAGCGAAAATGTAAACAATTGTTGTTGCTGTTGTTTGTCGCCTAATGAATTTCACGTTTATATGACATTTTCTACAAACACAGGGAGAGGGAGAGGAGGGTCAAACAAACACTGGCACTCACACGCACATGCACATACACTGATACGGTCTGCCGTCTTTTATTTTATGTCTGCGCCGCGCGCGCCACAAAGTAAAACATAAAAACCAGATTAATTTCGAGCAGCGCCGAAAATGTTTTTTTTTAAGCTGCGCGCTGCTTACGTGTGTAGATTTTCTACTTGTTTACTCCGCCATTTTTTCCCCAGCAATTGGGCTTCACTCTTCTGGGATTTGCAAGAGCGTCACCATCACTTAACTATTGAACGTAGTAATGCTATAGTTTTTATAACTATTAGACATTTCTTGTGCTATGCATTTTGTAATTTTAATCGCTTTTCAAACATTGCAGCATCGGAGCGTCGGTTCCGCGTAAAAACAAAAACAAAATTAACAGTGTGACCGCGGATTATTCCACAACATATACCAAGCGACCCTCAAAAAGATGCCAAAAGATACAATTACGTTGTCTATACCGTGAAAGTGGCAATGAAAATCAAATTCCTCAATTTTGATATTCGATTAAATATTAAATGCTGGTTAGAACTCTCAGCACTAAAAATATAATTTGATTCGATTGATGAATCAATTCTATACAGTCTAGCTTACTAAAGGACTCATTTTTATTGATATATGGATAGAAATTGTTTAACCGAAGGTTTTGAACTCAGTTTTGCGTTTCAAGTATGAGCTTTGATGCACAATATCGATTCTATTGTGCGATAAGTCGATGTGAATTCGCCCTCATACATTTGTTTGAATATTAGAGCCGGATGCAATTTTCTGTTCGTTGGGGCTGAGAAGCTATGCACTGGATACGATTTTCCTGTTTTGACCATCCACTAATAATAAAAAAATCTGCTATTGTCAACAAACTCGCAAACAATGCCTATTCGGCATGCCTTGGGAAAGGGCATAATAGAATTGATGAAATTTTCGTTAAGTTATGCTCCCATGTATGTAGAATCTACTCATCGAAATTTGAAATCCTTTGTACGTATGCCCTTAATTAAAAGGTAGGAAAGTACATAGACGTATGTACTACATACATATGTATATACATATGTACATATACATACCATTACTTACATTAAATGCTAGCAGATAGATGCTCGAACTATGTTTCTATCGTTTCCCAATAGTAGCACGAAGCAGTGGTCTGATTGAAATTTTCATCGTAAACGCGATCAAATCTTTTTCTTTTTTTGTTGGGCTCTTAATTCTAAAAAAAAATTAACATTTTATTGACAAAAATCGAAAAGTCGTTTTCAGCGCGCATATGCTTAATATGGGGGGTTAATAGGGCTCAAAAAAATTTAAAAATCGCACGAACAAGCGTGCGCGCACTGAACCTCTATAGCCGAACGCCGTCCCGACAGCACCTCCTTATATAATTACGTCATGGTCAGGAGTGCATCTATTTTTATGTCATACATAAATATTATTCATTCGTCTAAGTAATAAGCTTTTTCTCAGCACTCAATTGTTTCTCGCTATGGCTCGAATTCTGGTTGATTTTGCTGAGAATATGCAGCTTTGGTATGTTGTGCATTCGAGTCTGGCGTATTTGCTAGCACTAACGGTTTACTCCACAGTCTTAAGCTGTTTTACAACACAATTATTGGATTGCTACATTATGAACGCCTATGGATATGGCTTGAAATTGCATTTGCCTATTTTCTGATGTGGTAAGTTGAGCGGCAGATGTGTGTTGGAGCTTCTCTTGAGCTCTCTCTTTTCCCGACAGTTTTATAAGCATCTGGAAAAGTCTCATGCGTTCGCCACATACCAGAGATGTGGCATATTGGCTTGCAAATTATTTTGGTTACTTCTGTACATGGATTTTTAAGGGCTGGAAAGTCGCTTATGGTGCCTGGTCTGACTTCTGGTCCAATCCGCAGGTGCGTCGATACCTTTACGAGTGCAACCTCAGTGTCTGGCAGCTTGTCTACGGTATGCCGAGTACCGGTAGCATTATAGTATTTAACGGTTGGCACGATGTGTCCTGTTGTTGCACCGATCGCGTGGGTCAGCTGATTGAACAGGCAAAAGTGTGCCTGGATGTGGCGTTGCTGTCCGACGAAAGTGCCAAGCACCTCAACGGCATTTTGGGTGCCCATTCTCGTGCCGTCAATGTGCGCATTCTCGCCAGCGATAAAATGCTCCAGGCCAATGGTGCCGAGATGCTGGAGATCTGTGCTGCTGGCGTGCCGTTGCGCTCCTACGCCATGAGCGTTGCTTTCGGCTACAACTTTGTCATCATTGACAGCGAAAGACGCGCCCTGGAGATCGAAGCCGGGCAGGATACGCAGGCTAGTACCAACCTTTGGCTTCTCAGGGGCAACCTGAAGGGCTTCCTCAAGTTTCTTCTACACGCCGTGATGAACAATGGGAAAAAGGACTACAGAAATGACAGTTACCATTTTCAACACTTTTTTTCTGAATGGAAAATCTTGTATCCCATTACTCCGGATTATTTGAAAGCATACAATTATATATGATAGCACAGGGCTGTGCTAAAAGAAAAGTGTTCCAAATTAAAAGTTACTAAGGTTAATTTTTTGTTTATTCGGCAACATAAATTTTAATAATTTATTCATTTATGCTGAATAAAACTCAACAAAGCAAATCCCAATCGACTATGGGTATCAGGGTATCAAGGTATCATTTAAACACACAATAGCAGTTCGTAGTTTTTTGGGGGAGAAGTTTTCAAACCAACGGAATTTAAGTGTTTTAGTACAAAAATTGTTCCAAGCTTTCTTGGAGAATAATGTATAGAACCTGGATGGATATTCATTTATAAGTCCACAGGCTGTACTTCTGGAGAAACTTACAGGCGCAGACCTACGATGACTTTTCCTCCCTTGATCCTCCTTCAAAGTTAATCCAAAAAATCCAAATATTTAATGGTTATCACCTTATGCATTCGATATCCATTTTTAAATGTCCGTAAATTTACATATTTTCAAGCCCAGCGGCCATTCTAAAGCACTAGCCCAGAACCTGGACATGGGTGGGTGGGTAACGAAACAATTTAAGCATCGAACGCTGTCAAGACGAGAAGGGACGTGTGAGACGCTTCTTACGAGTCACAACTTTTATACCCGGTTCTCAGTAGAACATCGGTACTTTAACGGTTTTTTTTCAAATTTTCAAATTTAAATTTTACATTCTTTCATCAACATCAACGTCTTCATCTACATAACTTCTCAGGCCAACACGCTCTTTTAGCTCGCCCCCCTCCCCTAGAACCGCACAATACCGCAAATAGAAGCTGTGGGACGGGGTGGGTTAAGTCACTGGAAATTAATTTCTTCATTCTGGCTATAATAATGATACAATCGCGTCCCAATTCGGTGATCTGGTAGATATGGTCCTTCCTTACGGAAAGGCGTTTTTAGTTTTCTTTTATCTTCAAAATGGTAGATTTGGGTGGTTTTGCCCTTTTGCGGGGGAGGGGCTCCCTGATAGATAAATCCAACAAACTAAAAAGATGTTATATATAATAGCAGGGCTCATTGGAAAACTGCTATTTCTGTTAATTGAATATTAATTATACAATTTACTTATTGTTTAAAAACAGATTGTAAATATAAAGAGAGAGAGAAAAAAAAAAAAAAAAAACTTGTAACAGTGTAAGCATAAGAAGTCTGGATGCAAAATTTGGTGGCCGAAAGCAATTTTCTGTTTGTTGGGGCAGAGCAGCTATGCGTTGGATATTCGGCATGCCTTGGGAAAGGGGAATAATAAAACTGATGAAATTTTCGTTATGTTATGCTCCAATGTATGTAGAATTTACTCAACAACATTTCTCAGTTACAAATTTAACAATTATTAAAGAATAAATTGTATACACTTTCCATCACGAACATTGACGTCAAATTCGGTACTAATACGAGTTACGTTTTTTAAACGTTAAAAAGAATGTTAAAATTTAGGAATATAGGTTTCGGACTAGGAGAGAGAGAGAGAGAGATTAACCCATTTTCGTGGAGGTGTCTTAAAATGTGTGGCATAAAATTAAAAATGTATATACACTTGCACAATATTACACAGTTAAGGAGAACAAGTTTTTTTTTAATGAAGATGAATGAAGGTTTTTGAAGGAGCACTTTCAAGCAATTTACGTTGTTTAAATAGTGGGTTAAGTTGGATTTGTTTTCCTCGGTATTTTTGGAAAATGAGAAGGTATATTTCGGTATATTTATGAGGGTCAAGCGGTATATTTCATCGATAAATCCGCGGTGACAGTGCCGTCCCAGCTCCACAGCAATGTTAGATTTAATTTATTTAAACAAATTAAACTGCAAGCCAAAGCCAGTGAAAAGTCTTTAACTCATTTGAGTGCTTTCAATTAAAATGTGTGCGACATTATAATTGGCTTTCGTTTCTGTTCTCGGGTGTGTGTGCGTGTTTCGTTTTACGTTTGATTTGTCATTCCTTTGCGGCGTTTGTTCGTTTGTCGCTTATTTTTGGTTAAACAAATTGCGATTTTTGTGTTTGTTTGGTGTAAGCACTTTATCTAATGGCATAAGCTTAGAATAAAGTATTTGACTAAATGGGCAATAAGTAATTGCAAATAGACAGCGGCACAATTGAAAAATGCAAATGTACAAAAACAGGTTGTCGAAACTCTTTCTCCTCCCTGCCCCTACTCTACCACTCCTCTCTCATTCTTTCTCTTTCACTCTGTCTGCTAATCGTACGCTTTGGTATTTCTTGCGGCATTTGTTGCCAAGAGGGGGAGAGCTTGTGCAAGTCAATGCACAGCATTAATTATACCCCAAGTAAAAGATACAAAGTAAAAGAAAAAGACAACAAAACCTATTTTCTTTCTACTATTATGCTGCTGTTTCCTCTGCTTCTGCCCTGCGTTTGAGGGGCGTTTGTGCTTCTTCTATGGGGCATGATTCATTTGGGTTTGTTTTGGATTTGTCTCCATTTTGTGCAACAGCAGCAGCAACAACTACCTGTGGAATGCCTTCCAAATGTCAAAGTTTACAACAGCTGTTTTGGCGCCAGTTCAAACTAGAAGCGAACTAGTTATTATGTAGTCTGTGGGCGATATCTTGATTAATCTTTTATCTTATTCTTTTTGCAGTTTTGCTGTTATCTTTTCGTGTTTTCTTTTGTGCGCTTTTGCGTGTGTATATGTGTGTGTGGTTACGTGCGTGTTTTTAGCAAAAACAAACCTATAAAATAACGGTGAAGCAAATGCAGAAAATGCCATCGCAAATCTTAAACGACGGCAGCAGTGGCGCCGGCAGTCTGAACAGCGCCAGCCTGGAGGCCAGCACTCCCAACAGCATTACGGTGAAGACCGCCTACAACGGCCAGGTCATCATCACCACCATCAACAAAAATGTCTCCTACGAGGAGCTCTGCTATGAAATACGCAACATATGCCGATTTCCCATCGATCAGGTTTGTTTTTCGGTTAACTGAAGTGTAGAAGAAGTGGCCCCTAAACAAAGATTCCTTTCCTTTGCAGCCGTTTACCATCAAGTGGGTGGACGAGGAGAATGATCCATGCACGATATCCACCAAAATGGAATTGGATGAAGCTATACGATTGTACGAGATGAACTACGATTCCCAATTGGTCATTCATGGTGAGTCCTAAGGAATTTCTTTGATTCGTGTAGGCTCTGAAATATTCCAATGATTCTCATAAAAGAAAACTGTGGTTAGATGTGAACAAAAGTAAAAGTTTGATAAGTAAAGGAGGTTACTCTACTTATCGTTGGAAAAGTAATCAACCAACTGAGTCACTGTACGGGTATATTTATATACCACTGCATACCGGTACGAACTTTCAATATATTTACTCAAGATAGTAGGAGTTGTGTACAATTTGTATTTTATATGGATATTTTTAAATGTTTTATGGCTCGTCTGCTTGTGGCGGATGTTTTATATCCAATTAGTAAACTTTCCTCAATGTTGTTTCCCTCAATTTTTATTGAATTATCTCTGAAAAGTAGGCAGCAATAAATCCATTAGCCAATAAGCAACATCATCAAAGTGGGTGCAGTATTTGAGCCTGCTTTAAAGCATTTAAGCTTGATTAAACAGGCTTAGAGCACAGAGGGGGTTTAATTAGTCTAATAAACTTGGGCATTTGCCGACTCTCACCCCTCTAAACCCAGACATTGCCGAAAGGGAAGAGCATCTCTCTGACTTAATAACATAAAATATTAATTAACTTGCACACACACACACACACACACTCTTAATTTGCCAGAGAACATGGCTTTTGGCATGGCCAAAGGCAACCAACGTTTTTCTCTATATTTCCATATAAATTCTGTTGACTCTTGGCTTGCCGGTCTTTTTTATAATTCATTATAATTAAATTGTTTGCTCAGTGTGGGCTTGGATTTTTTGGCTCATTTTTTTTGAGTTTTAATTTGCACTACAACATGTGGAAACAAACACATGCACATATGAAAACTCACTTTTTGTTAAACGTTTGTTCTTTATTTGGTTTCCCACAAAAAGAAAGGGCTTCGTTTGGCAAAGGACAAGCAGAGAACCCTTTTTACATGCAAGAAAAAACCAACAAAAATAAATTACTAAACAAATAAAATGGGCAGAAGGAGGAATACGCTTTAAATACTTTTAAAAACGAATATTTAACAACCAATATTAAGTGCATTTTAAGATTATCTAATCAAGTTTATTACCAAAGTTACATTTTCCCGATACGTTGCATTCTCTGTAGAGTGTTCCACAAGGTTAATCCGACCATCCCATATGTCCTCCATCCCAGCGTACCTGTGGCCATTTCGTATTCAGAACGCGTGTACATATACCCGGAAAGAGGAGAACTAACTGCAGGACAGATATGATAACTGCCAGCAGCACTAAACAAAGTTGAGCACGGGTCGCAGAGGATGGAAAAGAGCTTCCTTTTTCTGCCATTGTTTTTGTGTTTGGTGGGCCACACTTCCTGATATGTTGTGGCCATTTGGATGTACCACTCTCCTCCACAAAAAAACGAAATTATGGACCACATTGTTATACTCTTGCAGCGGGCATTTTAAAGTTGCTACATCTAAGATGATTCTCTTCTTGAAATTAAAAAAGGCACACAGGCGTAATTAAACTAAACGCGAGAACTTAATAGAATGAAGTTGCTTCAGGTAGTTAGAGATTAATTATTTATGTTACTTGTAGCTGTACAATTGAGGTGAACCATCTTTCTGTAAGGGTATAAAGAGCTTTGTCCTTCGCAGTTAGACTTCCTTCCATGTTGTTCTTTCTTTTTGTGTTGTGGCCACGTGTGAAAAAAGCGGATTAAGAGCATTCTGCCAGTGCGTGTGTGTGTGCGTATTGTGGGGGTATTATGTTACCTTTACATCTACTAGAACGGGCCGACACACACACACTCACGTCTGCCCGCTACCTGTACGTGTACATGTGTCGTAAAAGCATTACACGACAAGACTTGCAGCTCCCTCTACTACTCCCTACCGCCCCTGTCTGGTCTGTTGTTAGTGTGGTTACACTGGCTCTGTGCCAGTGTTGATTAGTAAATGGCAGTG